GTTCGAAAAGCTTTCAGATTTTAGGGGATACATCTCTGGGTCATATAATATTGTCTTAAACCATAATGATCATTATATGTTGTCATAAATGTTCATGGTAGGCTTGAGTTAATGATATCGGTGCAAATTGTAAAACGGTAAAATGGCCGGTTAAAGGCAAATTGGTTGGTTCCACCCATCCAATTGGACTCCCGGAGAGTATTAGGGACCATGATAAACATTTTGGCAATTTTTATTTTCGGACGAAAAAAAATCCAAAATTGAAAACCACGCTTTCTGAGAAATTTGGGATGTTTCGAGGCCGGTGTTGAAAAGTTTTGATATTTAAGGGGATACGTCTCGGGATAATATAATGTCGTTTGGAACCATATATGATCATTATATGTTGTCATAAATGTTCGTAATAGGCTCGAGTTAATTTAATTGGTGCAAGTTGTAAACTGGTTAATTGGTCGTTTAAAGGTAAGTAGGATGGTTTCCACCCACCCAATTGGACTCTCGGAGGGTATTAGGGACCACGGTAAACATTTCGGCAATTTTTATTTCCGATCGAAGAAAAGTATAAAAAAATCCAAAATTGAAGGCTAATATCCACGTTTTTTGAGAAATTTTGGAGGTTTAAGGGCCTGGTGTCGAAAAGCCTTTAGAATTTAGGAGATACATCTCGGGGTCATATAATTCCGTTTGGAACCATATATGATCATTATTTGTTGTCATAAATATTTTGTGGTAGGCTTGAAATTAATGAAATCGGTGTAAGTTTTAAACTGGTAAATTAGTCGTTTAAAGGCAAATTGGATAGTTCCACCAACCCAATTGGAATCTCAGAGGGTATTTGGTACCATGGTAAACATATCGGTAATTTTTATATCCGGGCGAAAAAAAGTTAAAAAATTCCAAAATTGAAGGCTAATATTCACGATTTTGGAGAAATTTCGAATGTTGTGGAACCGGTGTCGAAAAGCATTGAGATTTTAGGGGATACATAACTGGGTCATATAATGTCGTTTGGATTCATATATGATCATTATATGATGTCATAAATGTTCGTGGTAAGCTTGATTTAATGAAATCGGTGCAAGTTGTAAACCGGTAAATTGGTCGTTTAAAGGCAAATTGAATGGCTCTACCCAGCCAATTGGACTCACGGAGGGTATTAGGGACCATGGTAAACATTTCAGCAATTTTTATTTCTTGGTGAAAAAAAGTCCAAAAAATTCTAAAATTGAAGGCTAATATCCATGTTTTTTGAGAAATTTTGGAGGTTTCGGGTAAAGATGTCAATTCGGGTAAACGGGTCGGGTTTGGGTCGGTAATAGTGGATCGGGTCAATAATTTGCAGGTTGGAATCAGGTCGAGTCATTCTCAGGTTTGAGTTGGGTTTGGTTTAAGTCAATAATTTTCGGGTTATAAACTGGTCGGGTCATTTTCAAGTCTGGTCATTCTCGGGTTCAAGTCGGGTTCGGTTCAAATCAACAATTTGCGGGTTATAATCAGGTTGGATCATTTCCAAGTCAGGTCATTCTCCGATTCCAGTCGGGTTATGTTCAAGTCAATAATTTGCAGGTTACAATCAGGTCGGGTCATTTCCGAGTCAGGTCATTTCCAAGTTCAACTAATTATAAAATAGATTATTATCATTTTATATCAAGCTAATTATTTCCTTTGACTATAATATATATGGCAATATAATAGGGAACTATATTTTATAATTTAGGAAGATAATTATCTCCTTTGACCATATAACAAAAATATACTATATTTAACTCTTAAATTTGAGGATGATGCTCCTTTCTTTTGCTGGCATGTACCGACTTGGTCTCCCTAGACAAAATGCTTTGATCAACAATAATAAGGTGGTCTAAATTGCATTGAAGGTGATTTGAAATCAGGTCGGGAACAATTTGGGTTGAATTTAGGTCGGGTCAATAACAAGTCGTGTTGATTTCGAGTCAGGTTAGTAACAAATAAAGTTGAATTTTTGGGTCGGGTTAGTAATAGGTCTTGTAAAATTCGGGTCGGGTCAATAACAAGTCGGGTTAAATTTTGGTCAGGTCAATAACTAGTCGGTTTGATTTTGGGTCGGGTTTGTAATAGGTTGAGTTAAATTCGAGACGGGTTAGGAACGGGTCGGGTTGAATTCAGGTCAGGTTAGTAACATGCAAGTTGGGTTAAATTCGGGTTTTGAAGGGTTAAAACGGGTTTGGGTCAATTTCGGTTCAAGTCGGATTCGGTTCAGGTCAATAATTTACGGGTGACATTCGGGTCGGGTCATCTCCAAGTCAGTTCATGTTCGGGTCCAAGTCTCACATACTCGGGTCTAGGGTTGGTTTCAGGTCGGGTTTGGGTCACCATTTTTTCGGGTTCATATTGATCGGTAAAAAATCGGGTTTGAGTCGATATTTCTAGTCGGATCAACTTTTGACAGCTCTACTCTGTAGTATTTATTGTCCACTAAAAAAAAGAATTATTACTCCGTACTACATAGTCACTCTCTACATTTCTTTCTTTTTTTAGAATTTGACTTTTATGGTCAACTTTGTAATTTTTAATTAACAATAAAAATTCACTATAATAAACCTCAAAATTATATCTTGTATGATCATATTAAATTAAGATTAAAATGCTTTTCTAAATACCAATTTTATAGAATTTATACTCATACTACATTTAATATATACGTGTGTGCAAAATAAAAATTTTAAGCTATAGGCGGTGGTACCATGCTTGATACATACAAAAAACGCGAAAAGAACATGTAGCTAATTTGTAAAAAACGTACAACTATTTTGTAAAAAACATATATCTGTTTTGTAACGAACAACTAAATGTTATTACTTTTTATTTATTTAAAGAACATATGTAATATTAATAAAGAATATTTTGTCAAAAATAATATTAATAAAGAATTAATTCCACTTTGAGGCGCGGATGAGATTCGAAGCCGTGACCTCTGTGTCACGCTGGCTCCATACCATGTTAATGGACCTTCTCAACCAAAAGCTTAAGCTGACGATTGAGGCCCGAAAATATATTTTATACTCTATCACCTACTAATAAGTTTGCTGTCTATAAATCTTGTCCCTTGCACTATCTTGGAATAATACCAAAGGCTAGCTAGGGGCTGAGTTTTCAATATGTATGTACCATGAGAAATCAAAGCTCGATCAAATTGTAAATTATGGGATAATGCGACTGTTCTTGCTAAATGCTAATATAATTGTTATACAATTAAATGAATTATTGTTTATTGTAAAATGGTCATATATTCAAAGAAAATATTGTAATTTATATTCAAAAAATGATTTATTATTATTATTATTATTATTATTATTATTAGACAAAAGTTAATGAAAAGATAGCTAAAAGCAGAAAGATTAAATTTAAATGAAAATTAATTACACCGATCGGATCGACACGTGATTTTGTCATGCTTTTCCAAATTAATACTATTTTAGGCAATATTTTAAATGTTTATCCAATACCACGGGGGCGTTCGTTAGAAAGATCCTTATTATTATTATAATAATAAGATATGCTTATAAACAACAATGGCTATAACTTTTTTTTTTTTTTTTTTTGGGAAGGTTATAACTTTTACCTGATAACCTTTTTTTTACACCAACCTGATAACCTAAAATATATATTTTTAAAATGCTAATTAATAAAAAAAAAATTACAATCTATGTACCTATAATAAAGTGGAGTATTTTTTTCCCTGTTAAAAAATTATCTTCAAACTTCACTACTTATTTACGGTTGACTACTAGAAAAATTACAACCTAATAACTCAATCTTTCTTTTTTAACAATATCATTAATTTATCTTCAAACTTCACTACTTATTTATGGTTGACTATTGATTTATATTTATATATAGACTTATTCTAGGTTAAGTCCCGTGCCATGCACGGTCATAATTAAAGTTTACAATATATAAATAAAAAATATGGTGTTAATTCAACAATAATTTCTCAAAAAAAATTACTTGTAACAAAATAACTTAAATTAAATGTAAAGATTATTGAATTGGATTTTATAAAAAAATAATAATATAGTAATAGAAACTTAGATGATATAAGGTTTTATATAAGAAAATTAAATTATTTGCTTAGGTAATTAGGTTAGTACCCATATACGAACTCATATACATTTTTTCTTAAATTTTTGACACAATTTGATCGACATTATATGAAAATTTATTTGAGTTCATTTTACTTTAGGATAATTAGTATTCCGTAATCAACTTATTAAATATATTTTTAGTGAATAGTAGGATTTTTTTAAAAATAATTAAGTTTTAATTTTCCAATATATGTTATGTACGAAGTATACTATAACAAAATTTATTTTGTTCTCATAAACATTATGTATAGTTTTAAGATTAATACTCCGTACAAAGTATGCTACCAAAATGATTTTTTAAAAAAAAAAATGATATTGATAATATTATAATTATCTTGGAAAACAATATATTCCAATACCTTATTTTTTAAAATCTATGTTAGTATTTTTGTAATTAAAAGTTTCCTAATATATATAGAATATATGTAAAAAATTTAATTGTGTAATATTGGATTAAATATGTTGTCAAAATGGAAATAACTATTATTATAGGTTATAAAATATATAGATGTCATTAAAATATGACAAAAAAATTAAAAAGGAAAGGGAAAAAAAGGCGGGAAAATTTTTAACCAAGAAATGACAAGTGTCATTCCTGGTTTCGCCTTTAGTATATGTTTATTGATTGATGATTTCCAATATATGTTATGTATGAAGTATACTATAACAAAATTATTTTGTTCTTATAAACGTTATGTATAGTTTTCAGATTAATACTCCGTACAAAGTATGCTACCAAAATGATTTTTTTTTTTAAAAATTGATATTGATAATATTATAATTATCTTGGAAAACAATATATTCTAATACCTTATTTTTTTAATCTATGTTAGTATTTTTGTAATTAAAAGTTTCCTAGTATATATAGAATATATGTAAAAAATTTAATTGAGTAATATTGGATTAAATATGTTGTCAAAATGGAAATAACTATTATTATAGGTTATAAAATATGTAGATGTCATTAAAATATGGCAAAAAAATTAAGAAGGAAAGAGAAAAAAATGTGGGTTTTCCAAGAAATGACAAGTGTCATTCCTGGTTTCGCCTTTAGTATATATATGTTTATTGATTACTGATGTTTCCATCACTGTTTATTAATTTTAAAAATTGAGCATGGCTTGAGCATTATCTAGTTGTAAACCAAAAATGAAAAGAGGCATTTTGACATAGTGCCAATGCCTATCCATTGGATAATTCACACCATATCAACTAAAAAAAGACCAAGTAGGCCTGGTAAAGCCATACAAGCTCTAGAAATTTTGGGCAATAGAATTTAAAATCATTAAGAGTAGATCGAATATCAAATGTTAACCAAGTATGATCTAGAATCCTCAAAAGTGGATCAAACAAATAAACTACAACATTTGCATACTACATAAAGTTGCATAGAAAAGTAATTTTCAAGACTAAATGAGTATATCAAATGTTAAACAACTCTTGAAAATTTGGAAATAGAACTTAGATTCTCCAATCAAACTGTGTCTGTAGTAGAAATTAGAGTTCACAGATAGTCTTATTCCTCCTCATTATGCATGAACATGGGTACTACTCCACTTATCTCCACATTGATAGCAAAATTCATAGTGACACCTGGATAAAAATTTTAAAAAAAAAAATAGTTAAATTAATACTTCTTATATAAGGCCTACGTAATGTAATTTAGAGATAAGAGGGAATTGTATAAAAATAACGATATTCATCTCCTTTATTGCCTTTTAGATGGATCTTCGGTGAAATGAATCTCCAATAATGCAATATTATAATCAAAATAAAAAGTTGAAGCGCATACATGACTACGGGATAAATGAAGTAATTTTATATGAATAATTAAGTACCGAAGTAAGTTAAGTAAGTAATAAGTAGGTTTTACCGAAATTATTAATTTGTCATAGATTACATTTGAATAATTTATTCCTATTTATTATTTATAAATTATAAGGAATGAAATTAGAAATTTTATTAGTATTTAAAATTAGAAAACTAACCTGCAAGTCATATGAACACAACCATCACTCCTCTCAACAAAAATCTTACAATTAGGGCATCTCTTCCATGACTTATCCTTAGCAAGCTTCATCACCATTATATCCTCTCTCTCCCTCTCATCTTTCCCCAGCTCAAGAAACTCTTCGCAGCTTAAGCCGTCGTGCCACGGCACTTGACACCGTGCACAAAACAATCTCCGGCAACTCGGACACTCCGATTCCCTCACCTCCACCCCACCATCATCCACCATTAAAACAGAGCAATTTTTATATGGACAGTAAAATTTCTGCCCCCAGGAATCATTACTTCAAATAAAACATTTTCCCACCTTACAAACACTTCTTTAGGTAAAATTGCACTGCAATTTTCTGGTTCTATTGCTTGATTACATTTAGGATCAGGACAATTCACCATTTCATGATTTTCCCTAATCTTCGACGCCACGTATTTGATTATACAATCAGTGCAAAATTTATGATTGCAAATGTTTAAACCATTGAAAATTTCTGTCTTTGGTTTGTAATCCATACAAATTCCACAGAAAACGAGCTTAGTTTCAGATGATTCACCTCTTTCTCTGTTTTCTAAAATGCTCTGTTCTTCATCCTCTGTTTTTGGGATTTTAAACAGGAAATTTTCATGAATTGAAGGAAGTGATGAAAATGAGTAAAGAACATCCTCTGTTTTTGGGATTTTAAAAAGGGGATTTTCTTGAATTGAAGGATTTGATGAAGATGAGTAAAGAGCTTCTTGAAGGTGTAATTCTTCTGCATATTTCTCATCCGATATTGGAATCGGTTCTTCATTGATCAAAGCTAAAAGATAAGCTTCATCAACATAAAGATCAAGATTTGTAGAAGTCATTGAGAAACTTTACAATTTTTAAGGGAAGAAGAAAATAATTTGTTTGAATATTAATACTAGCTAGTATTAACATGTATTGATAGTAATTAAATTTGAATTGACTGATATCTTGGAAATGGTTAGTTAAGTTTAATTAAAAAGGAAATTTAAACGTTTTTTTTAGGCTTTCCAAATTTCAGCTTTTAATATTTTTGGTTTTTTATTTTGTTTCCCCAAGATTTTTGGAGAATGAAAATTGTGGTAAATAAGATGTACAGTCTTCAACCTACAACGTTATGGCAAAAAGATTCCCATTGTATTTGGCCGCTATTATGAGTTAATTCGTGGAAATCTTAGCTCTTTTTAATTATCTTTGATAGAATACGCTGGATTTGATAAAGAGATATAATGCTTTAAACAGATTTTTATAGAGTACGTTGGATTTGATCAAGAGATAATGCTTTTTAATATGGTATATGTCAAATTATCAATGATACGAGTATTTATTTTAACAGTTAGTTACAATCTTAAAAGATAGATTTGGGAAAATATTGAGATCAACACATGAGGATGAAGCAATGATAGTATTAGTTGGTTAAATAGAATCAAAAGGTACTTAAACGGTTAAAGGGATTTCCAAATTTTAATTTTTCCGGGAGTAATCTATCTTATTAGACTAAAAGACAAGCGCCTCAATGTGAGGATGACAAATGTCACTCTCTCATTGGCTTATCTTATGTATAAAATATATCTATATAATTACTGTTTACATATTCAAGCATAGTTATTTTTGTTAAACTTCAAACAATAAAAGCAAGTTTCTATACATGTATAAGATTTTCATGATTTCCCAACATAAATATTGATTTAAATTTTTTTATAATAAATATATACTTTCCAATACTACAAATAATCCATAAAGTCTTTCCAATCTTTATTTATACTTTCCCAAAATAGTCTACAAGTTATCCTAAATTCAATTCAAGTAATCGGATGAATACAAATTTTTTTGATAAAGATACAAAATAGTGTAAAAATTACTTTTATCGTTTGTTGTACTCCTTGACAAATACTGAATGCTGAGCCGAAATGTTGTCTTGGAAAAAAATACGTAATCTTGAACATAAATTTAATTTTAATCGGCCTTTCCTTTTCTATACAATGTCTTTTGCAATGACCTTTTGTTTTTCTTGCATAAAATATATATATATATATATATATAAAATTAAAAAAAATGAACCAATAACCAATCTAATCAAGAAGAATAAAAGTTAAATTGAATTAGACATTTGACGGAAAAGGGATAGATATAAATTGTAACTATTACTCGTGTTTTAAATTGTAATATTCGTATTAACAATGCTATTACTTATGAATTTTTTTTAGAAAAACTAACATTTTGATTTAAAAATCGTGCATTGCTCATGTACTATAATAAATATACAACAATCATGTGCAATAATTTATGTTGTTTTATACATAATAATACTTTTAACTATAATAGTATGTGTATATAATATAATATTTTTTATAATATAAAAAAGTATATGTATATAATATAATATTTTATAACACGTGTCCTTCATACCAAGTGTAGTCCTAATGTGTCTATTTTATATAGTATTTTACCCCCATCCCTTGGTCATAATTAGTAGTGTTTTTGGCTCTTTAGAGCCACTTTTATTACTAATTGGTGTTTTATAGTGTTTTCGTAGATTTGGTTGACTTTTGCAGGGATTTATGCTTTTGGAGTATTTTCCCGAGTTATCTTGGAGCAATCACGAGCATTGGAGAAACACGACCAGATTTTATAGCCCAGGGCCGGTTAGAGTCATCGAGCCGGTGATTAAGGGCTCGGTAATTGGGATTCCGAGGTATTTGGACCAAGTATTCAAGACCCGAAGAGGAAATCCGGATTGGGCCGAGAAATCAAGCCCAATCGAAATCCGAGCCTCAAAGTGAAGCAAGGGCCCGATCGGGCAAGTGTTAGCACGATCGGGCGCGGCATGCTTAGTGTTGTGCGTGGCTTATAGCGCGCCCGATCGTGCAAGCGTCTAGCACGATCGGGCGATGCTGCTGAGAAGGAGCGCAAAGAAAAAGGCGGGCCCGTTCGGGCGGCCCTTCGCCCGATCGGGCGCGTGTTTCTATAGGACCTGATTAGTTTAGTTTTAATTTTTATTTTAGGGAACGTTTAAGTACGAGATTTGTACATAATTTTGGATTTACCTTCTTTCTTAGACTTTCTCTCTCTACTTAGAATATTTTCTCTCTCTTAAATTCTCTGTTAAACCTTTGTTCTTAATTCTACTCTTAATTCCAGATTTGTTTGGTAACGATTTCTCTTCTCTTAATCTTAGTTGTTTATTTTATTCCTTCCATCATGACTTGTTTTATTGCTTTGATTAGTTTAGTTTTTAATATGTGTGAGTAGTTCTATTTCTAGGGTTTATGGGGATCCTTAAATAATATGAAGGGTAATTTATTGTTGTTAATTGTCAATGCTAGATTAATTTCCTATTGATTGATTTAATGCTCTGTGACTAGATTAGGCCTGATCTTTTATGCATGAGTTTGACAACATTGATTCGAGATTCGAGAGATGAGAATTGATGTTTAGGTCTAGTTTCAATAGGCAGGTCAATTTATAAATGGTTAAGTCGAGATTCGAGAAATGAGATTTAATACCGGTAAATTAATTGTGTGATTGTAATATGTAGCGAAAGCCCTTTACAATCTGGTTAATTGATGCATTGATGATTGACTATTATTGATTATTGGTATTGCATGATAATTTCTTATTGAATTGTTTTAACGTTTTACAATTACGACTTGTAAAAGTATAGCAATATTGAATTGATGAATCGAGCAGATGTTAATTTGATATTAAAGACTATTTTCAATAGGGACTTAGATCTAGTAAATTGCGAGAGCCTGTTAGATCTATGTTGATTAATAAATTGCGAGAGCCTGTTAATCATGTTATTTATGCAATGTCAATGTTTGATTATTATGTTTTACCCTGGAGTATTATTTATTGGTGAATCTATGCCCTAGATCCTTTTATATATTGTTTTCTCCCTATTCTCGTTCTTCGTAGATTAGTTTATTACTCAAATATAAATATTGGTTACTTCATAATCTATATTATGTTAGTTAATTAGGAATAGAAAGACTTGTTTCCCTGTGGAGATCGACCCTACTTCCCTATCTGCTTTAGTTAGAGGACTTAGGTAATTATTTTTTATTAGGGGATACGACTTTACCCTGTCAAAATTTGGCGTCGTTGTCGGGGAAACGGTTTTATTTTTATTTCTAATTATTTTTGTAGTCTAGGTTATTTCCTTTTTGTCTCAGAGAGCATTAGTTCTCTGAGGCAAATCTCATATTTGCTTCTAGTGTTTGTTTATGCCCAGGTGTTCCAGATCAGGTTACATCCCATTCGATCCTAAGATCGAACGTTCTTTCTATAGACAGAAAAATCTCTACAAGCAAATCCTTGCGGATTCTGGTGATAATAACAATAATCACCGCGATCCTCCGACTGGTTCTAGCAATTCAGAGACATCATCAGACTCAGAATCAGAGATGACGGCTCCAAAGAAGCTTAGTGATTACTCACAACCCAAACTTACAGACTTTCCACATCTCACCCCTACTTCGGCTCTTGACGGGGTTCAATTTGAAATTAAGCCTCAATTTATAACGATGATAGAGAGGAAGCAATACAGTGGAGCCAAGGGTGAAGACCCAAATCTTCACATTGCTGACTATTGTCAATATTGTAACACCATCAGGCAAGCCGGGGTCACTCAAGACCAAATCAGGGAGATTCTCTTTCCTTTCTCTTTAACTGGAAAAGCTAAATTGTGGTTTAATGGCTTAAATAGAACTGCACTTGGTATAACTGACTGGGAAACTCTTGTTTTGAACTTCTATAACAAGTATTATCTTGCAGAGAGAATAGCCGTACTACGGAGTGCGATTCAGAACTTTGCCTAAGAAGCCGATGAATCTTTATATGAGGTTTGGGAGAGGTTCAAGGACCTACAAAGAGAATGCCCTCACCATAATTTAGCACAATGGCAGTTAATCCAAGCCTTTTATAATGGCATTGGAAATTCTTCTCGAATAATTTTAGACTCTGCAGCTAGTGGGAGATTTATGAATCTTAATGTTGACGATGCAGGTCAGGTTATTGAAGATATGGCAATACACAATTCCCAATATGGGAATCCTAGAGGATTTGCTAACAAGGGAAAACATAGTGTTGACTCTGTATCCTTTTTACAAGCTCAGCTGACCTCTATTTGCCAAAAATTAGATAATCTTAGCTCTGCTAATGTAGCTAATGTTTCTGCGATTAATAATAATTCTAATGAGGCTTTCTGTGAAAATTGTGGTATTATAGGTCATTGGGAACAAGATTGCAGGAGTTCCGTGGAGCAAGTTAATGCCTTTCAAGCCTATAGGCAGAATAACCCATACTCCAACACCTACAATCTTGGGTATCGGAATCATCCGTACCTTTCCTACCGGAGTACTAATGTTCAAAATCCACCACCACAAGAACCACAGGCGCCACAACAACAGCAGCAGAAATATTATCATCCCAATGCTGGCCAGAAGAACCAACCACAACAAACCTCCTCATCTTCCGACTCCTCTCTGGTGGAAATTAGAGCAATGTTGGTTAATATGCAAAAGCACATGGAGAGTAGAGATGCGACAATTGATCAAATTCTAGCACATAATGAAATTGTAGATAATCAAATTGCGCAACTTTCCGCTACTCTACAAGCCCGCCAACAGGGAGCTCTGCCGGCACAGCTGACCCAGCCTACAGATCAAGCATTTGCAATTACTCTAAGGAGTGATTCAAACTATTAAGGGCCCCCTATGCCCAGAGTTGATGAACCTGTTTTATTAAATAATGCTAATCTTGATTCCGTTAAACCAAACGATGTAGTTGATAGCCCTGCAGGGCTAAAGGATAGTACTAACATATCTAATTCTACATTGCA